AAAATTTAAGGAACATATTATGTGACATAGCTTTCAAATTATCTTTTTCTAATCAAATGTTACGGAAATAGCAACATTAGAATATTGCGCGAATGTAATTGCACTGTTATCACAACCTTGCTTTGAGCAATAACATATCTAAAATTTACATTTCTTACTTACAAATACGTACAAGAAACATCGTTATTTTTAACATCGTCGGCCATAAAAAAATTTTCTCAAATTATATTATTGCAATTATAAAATATTACACAAATGTAATGTGTTGTTATCGTAAGCTTGTTTTGAATAGTACAACATATTTACATATTTGAAATTTAAATTACAAGAAACATTGTTATTCTGGATATTATTGGTTATGGACAAATTTTTCTCAAATTATATTATTTTACGAAATGAAGTTGCAAAAATAACAATTATATTATATAAAATATAATATCTGATATTTTTGCTTATTTGCAACTTTGCGTCAAATATAGTATTGCATACTTATAATTTAAAAGAACATTAAAATATTGCACAAATGTAATGTGTTGTTATCGTAAGCTTGCTTTGAATAATACAACATATTTAAATATTTGAAATTTAAATTACAAGAAACATTGTTATTCTTGATATTGTTGATTATGGACAAATTTTCTCAAATTATATTATTTTGCGAAATAAAATTGTGAAAATAGTAATTACACAATAGTAATTACACAATAATTTGATGTAACATAATTTGATTTTTGCTTTTATTATTATTATTTTATTTTTTTTTAACTTTGCATCAAATATAATATTAATATATAATTAGAAAAAAATATATTTTTCGCGTAATAATAAGAGTGATATTCTTTCTTAAATTTATTTTAGATTTCGCAATGCAAAATAAAATTTCCCTACATTCATAAATATACAATTCTTAAAATTAGATCACCACTTCGAATTAATCAAAAAAATAATGATAATCAAACTATGCAAAAAATGATTGTAGAGTGAATTTTTTGAAAGTACTTAGAACTTGTAGTCTCCTTCCAAGCGCTATAAAATTCTTTTTCCTAAGTAAGAATTTTTATCAAAAAACTTATTATATATCAATTATTTGTTATCTACTTAACTTTGTTAATTTATTTAGTTTTTATATACGTATATACATATATATCGCAATAGAGAGAAATTTTTTCTTAGCAAAGTTTATGTAAGTACAAAAAACATAAAAATACAAGTAAAAACATCAATAAAAACATAAAAATTTCTTGTTGAAATGTGATTAAAGTATTATGCTTGTTGAAATGTGATTGAAGTATCACGTGAAGATACTGTTCATATACTTAACTGAAAAGTTTTTAACTATTTTCTTAATTTACAAAAATTCCATTTATCGAGGCAAACGGCAAGGTCTTGTAATGTATTTCCATCTTAAGAGGATCCCTTAAGAGGATTCTGAACTGACGAGCAAACTCTGACGAGAACATTCACATATGCACATCTAACATACATAATACATTTATGTATCATACATAAATACATTTATGTATACAGGGTGTCTCACAACCATACAATATTTTAATAGTCTCTTCTATCTAGAAGTAAAGTAGAACAAAAAATCCTTATACGAAAATGTCGAAGCTACAATAGTTTCCAAATTACAACCGATCAAAAATAACCAGTAATGTCGCATAGAAGTCGCGCTTAGGCCCGTAGTTATACAGACTCGCGCATCAATCTGTCATCTGTTATTGATTTTTATATTTAATAATTTTTACTGTATAATGGATTATTAATAGCATTAATAGCATTAATTATAAACAATAGAATTAATATATTCGGGCGCTCGAGCCATACTTGATACAATCTCTCCTGTCGTGCTCCAGGAGGATTATTTGTATATTTGCCAGTGGCGTTGGAGGGTGTCACCGTTGCAGTCCGACCTGCATCCATCGAGAAAATGGAACCATCATCTCTCTGGAGTATAGGTCGTGGGGATATACATGTATATTGTAATATATGTATATATGTATATGTCATTGTATTGTTGATGTGTTGTTCTAAACGATATTGCGATAAATATCATCATATGCCTCTATGATCGAGATAAGATATGGAAGAGATAAGATGCCTGCCCGGTAAGCAGGAGATCCAGGTTCGATTCCTGGCTGAGGTGATATTTTTCGCAAAAATAATAATTACGAATTTTCACGGTTCGTGATCGGGTCGTAACGCACACCCTCTCTTCCTATTTGGGAGCTCGAGCCCCCGAATAAATATTATAAATGTGTATTATATCGCAAAATTGATTCTAGGAAGGAATAATTAAATATTATATAAAATTTTTTTATTTTAGGCACTAAACAGTCTATAAAACTCGCCTATCAAGCTAACAGTTTTGCGAAAGCATGAAAATGCTTTTGTAATCAGTTGGGGAAAAGAGAATTTGTTTTGGCCTCAGAATTAGAACAAGACACTTGCCGGGTAAATTAATTATAAATAATAATTATAAATAATTATATATAAATTATAAATAAAACATATAAACTTAAATTATTTTACGCATTGATGCGTAAAACATGTCCAATAAAATTCAAAGAACTTTTTTCTTAGATTTATTATTTAATGTCTTGTTTTTAAGGTGACCGTGCGATTTTCTTGTTGTAACAAAAGATGGCCAGGATCTTCAATATTGTGAGTTACAGAGACACATTTTGCCCAGTCCGGCCAATCCTGGCGTATTTATCAGGTTTCTTCATTTATAAATTGAATTAATCGTATAGTTACGAGAATCTGTTAATACATAAGTTTGATATTACCCACACGGAATATGACGTCCATTAAAGGTTCACATAATCTCCACAGCTTCCATGCGACATCTATCTCCATGGTGCAAATTAAATGGACTTCTAATGGAGATCCATGTTACTTCCATGATGGAACTTCAATGGAGTTTCTATTAGACCTCCATTAAATGTCCATGTAGACGTCTCATGGAAGTTGTATGGATGAATTACGGATGTTTTATAAAAACTTTCATGGATCATATAGAGCTTAATTAGAGGTTTTAGATCCTTTGTAAATGATTATTTTATGATAAAAATTAAGAATATATACTATAAATAAATTAAAAATGTATTTATTATAATCATTTATACACAATTAAATAAGACATAGCAATAGCTAAAATTAAAAATATATATTTATAAATAAATTAAAAATTTATATATATTTAATATTCTGTTAATAGCTTTCTCATAAAGCCTCCAATGTGTGTTTATTAATCTTTCTCAAAATCATCAATAAAACATCCATTGATCTACATAACCTACATAACCTCTACATCTATATGGAGAGTTAATAAAGATCTAATGGAGGTTAAAAACGCGAAACTATATAGATCTCCAATAGACGTCCAATGGAGGTTATAAATCTCCATGGCGGACCTCTAATGACGTGATCCATTGGAGGTTTTTGTTCTTGCGGATAATATCATTAAACGTATCAATATTAAAAAATAAGTATTTAAAAATATATATTAACTCAAAGAAAATTTTTCATTATATTTTAACGCAAAATTCACTATAAATGAATTCACTATAAATTTTACAATGTTTTGTGACAAACCTGGGACAACTTGGTATTCTCATAAATATTATTAGTAATAATAGTAATTTTTAAAATATAGAGAGAATATTTTACGAACTGCATGCTAAAAATTACAAAACAGATTACAAAAAGCTAATATATATATATGTTACATTAACAATTATAATAAATGAACTCAAAATAAATTCTGGTTATATATTAGATTCTTAATACTGTAGATTATGTTCCTGTCTAAATTATAATGTAACCTACATTATAATCGAAAAATACCTAAAAATATCTAACATATGAATTTTGTATCAAGAACAAGAAAAATTTTTATAATTTAGATTTTTTTTTACCATTTGCTATGTATGCTTAATATAGCAAATCCAGAGCTGTCAAGTTGCGTCAATATTTGCTTTATATAAAAATTTTGCAACCTGTACCTACAAAACTGATATTGCTAGACTAGAAGATTACATGAAGAAACGTTGAGTTCTTAGAATTAGACTAGATACTTAATGTGATATAAAAAGTCAATTTGCAACATTATGTTATGGCAGGACACCTTATATCTTACCTTAATTGTCAAATCATTTTCTGTTTTTTAACAACTATATTTTCCATAGTAATTCATTTCAATGAAATTTTGTTTTATTAAAATGTTTATTATATTTATATTAAAATAGCTTTTAACATTACTTTAAGTTGTTACATTATTTAAGTTATTACATTATTAAATAATATAGCTAAATAATGTAACAAGAGAAATTTCACTATTTTATTAATATTAAATAAATTATTTTATATTTTTGATAGATTCGTCATCGAATATAATATGCTTAGCCATTTCTCTAAGTTGTTTCCTCGCGATCTTGCCGGTATCTGTATGCGGAAGCTCGTCCAAGAAATATACACCACCTCGAAGATGTTTACAGTCTTCCAAGTTATTCTCTACCAATTTTATCAACTCCTCCGCTGTTACCTGCATCATTTTAAATCATTTCAAATATTATAATAATAGAATATAAATCGATAATACGAAGAAGAATCTCAGGTATAATAATACTAGTATAATAATTTTTATAATAACTTTTATTTTCGATCTGATGTAATACTTTTATTTTTAAATTTATATGGATGTCTGTTTTCCAATGATACACCATTTATGTGCAAGTAGAGTGGGTCAAACTGAGCAGAAAAGTCATCTACCATTTTACGATTTTTTGATTGATTAATCATCCAACATGCGTTCGCGATTGGCGGGAATGCGGCAATATTTAGAACGTAAAGTTTACAAGTAACAGGACATTGCTTACAATGCACGTCTCCAAATATTTCGTCGCGCTCCTACCGTGAACGCGTGTTGGACGATTGCACTTCGTCACGCATTTGCATTGACAAATAGAGGATACTTACTCATTCTACAATCTTTAATAATCAATAATTTATTACTAATCAGCGAAATCGGAAAATGATGAACAGGACCTTCCCATTTTAGTTTGACTCGTTTTACACAAGTGGTATACCATTAAAAATCAGATATCCTGTATATACCCTGCATTAAATATCCTGCATAAACAAAAATTATTTATATAAATACTACAAGTAGATTTATTATATTATTGTATAAATATTATTAGACGCTTAAAAACATGCTCCGCAGAATGTTAGTTTTGATTCTGCTGTTAAACATATTTTGGTTCATACATGTTGATTGTTGAAATATTGAAAATTTTCAATAATTTTCATTAAGAGAATTAGAGAAAATTGACAATTAATACAGCATAAGATTAGTATTAATTATGAATTATTTCTTCCTAGAATAAATGTATAATGATAAACTTGTTAATAGTAAAAAAAATCATAAATTGCGTACGTATTATCCTTCCCCCTCATAACATTTGCTATCATTTTTATAATAAACAAAGATCTGTTAACATGAGTATTTGTTTTAAATTAGTGTTAATTAAGCGAAAACAACAGATATACTTATTTTAGTTAGAATGTACAATTTATTAGTTACAAACCTTCTGGTTCGAAAATATCGATACAAAGGCAAGTGGACATTCTTCAAAAATATCATTTTGCGAACGTACTACGGCAACTTCGCGCACTGCTGGATGAGTCTGAAGCACCTTCTCGATTTCAGCCGGATAAATCATGTGTCCTAAGAATCTAATAGCTTCCGTTATTCTGTCGCATACAAAAAGTTCACCATCCTCATCATAATAACCTAAATCACCACTGCGTAGCCAACCTAAAGAAGATATTCAAGCGTATTGATTTAATCTAATAAAAATTGTATTATTCACGGATAGAAATTAAACGATCGTAACCATCTTCGCTTAAAGTTTTTCTGGTAGCTTCAGGATTATTATAATATCCTGTCATTACGTATGGCGATTTCCAAAAAAATTCACCAACTGTATTTGGGCCCAATGTTTCCCCAGTATCCACATCAATTACTTTTAATTGTACATTTTTAAGCACATAACCGACAGACCCTACTTTGTCACCTTGTTTCTGTACAGAACTAGTACCACAAATCTCGCTCATACCTGTTAAAAATTTAATACCATGATAAAATATTTTGAAAAATGGATTTTTTTTATATTTATATTAAAAACTTATTATCGCCTTTTGTCTAAAATACGATAAAAAGATTCCATTTTCTTTTCAGTTTTTGCTCTTCTAAGTAATTCTTTTCCCAGATTTTTTATTTACCTAAAGCATATATAATTTCTACATGCGGCAATGCCTTTATAATGGCCTCAAATAAGTGTGGCTTTGTAGCTACACCACCGGTGACTATCTTTTTCATGGATGGTAAGCGATACTTTTGAAAAAGCCCCCTTTTTAATATATTTACAATTACGCCTGGTTGAATTAAAAACCATTCCACCTATAAAAGAATATTTGTATAAAAGAACATTTTTAAAATAATAACTCTTAAAACAGATTTTTAACTTAGAATTTATATATATAGAATTATATATATAGAATATATAGAATACATACATTATATTTCTCTAACAGTTTACATGTCTCTTCACTGTCAAGCTTCATAGTAATAATTCGTGTCTTGCAGAAATAGATCGACCAAATTGTCGTTATAGTACCCATAATCCATCGCAATGGACTGAACCACATTACCACTTTTTGATCCTCCGTGGCGAATGATGTATCATAAAGCATATTGTTAATCAGGGCACGATGCGACATCATTGTCGCTTTGGATGGCCCAGTACTTCCAGATGACAGAAAGAGTGCAACGATCTCCTCCAAACTAGAAATTTGTGAACAACGAAAATCATTGATCGCATCCTGCTGTTCCTGAATAATTTCCTGAAAACTTTTAAACCCCTTTACACAGCCAAAAGTCACGAATTTAATATTCAAATTTTCTTCCTCCGCAGCCCTCGCCATAGTTTTTACCATATCAGCATTGACGAAAACGATTTTGGGTTTTGTTAGCGAAAGAAAATATCGACTGTCACCTGTGCAACATAAATATAATAAAGGATAGTTATTGAGTATTGAGGCATTGAGTATAAATGTATTTAATATGATTAATTAATAATTAAAACTAAATTAAAGATTCAAATTTATCTTAAAGAGATTAAATAAGATTAACAATAATGATAATTACAGTCGATATATGTTTCAAACAAATAGACAATAGAGGCTTCCATCGGCAGACTGGGTCTTCGTGTCGAACAATTTTTATTTTTCTGAATTTCAAGACAATGCTTATCGCGAACTATGTATCGTTAATTCAACGATCTTGCAACGTAGTCTACTCAAAGCTAAATTTAAATTTTACCCCGTTCCCTATTAAATCGATAATCAAATTTGAAATCGATTAATCCCACCCCGATTATTGGAAATTATTTTATTGCGAAAAATAATCGGGGATTTTGTTTAAATAAGATTGTTTAACAGAAATTTATTTAATAAATTTATATTAAAAATATAATATTTTTTTTATAAAAAAGAAAGGTTTTTACAAAATATTTGAAGAAACTTTATAAAGACTTCTTTACTTGACAATTTGAAAAAGTTTATAAATTGTTTAATTATCTTTCTGTGACACTATAGTAAAATGTCAAAGAGTAACATTATTTTTAGGATATAATTGGTAAAATCATTATTTTTCTAATAAATTCTTTTCCTTTTGGTTACAAACATTAATTTCTTGAAAAATATTTCTATTAAACATTTTTACAAATATTTTCATTATATCCTTTTTCATTTCTGTTATTTTAATTCATGATACCACTAGGAGACTTAAAAACATTTTTAAGAATTATTATTATTATTTTTGTAAACAAAGAACTAACAATAATAATAATTATAAAATTTTCATAGTAAGAAACTTACAGATGTTATATTCGTAATGCATTGGATAAAAACACGCGCAAATGAAAAGACATCCAAGCTGGGATGTTACACTATCGAGATGATTATGAGTAGAAATGCCGATGATATCCCCGCGTTGCACTCCTTGCTTTTTCAACCATAACGCACATCTAACGCTACGCTCCTTCATTTCAGCAAATGTCATCCGCTTATCCGTAATGGGGTCAATCTGTAGCAAATTAAAATAATTCTTAATTTCCTTAGATTATTAAACAATTTATTTATCAATTCATTTGATGTAGTAATGCAAATAAGTGATATATAGAACTTACTAATAAAATTCTATATCGATTTATAATTGTTAATTTTAATTATGTTTAATTTTATATTTTGTTTTGTCTTATTGTTTTTTCGAATTAAATTATTACAGATATATAAAAACTGTACGAGGATAAATAATTGAAAAATTTCCGATCTGATCAAGAAAGAACAAGATTTCAGTGAAATTTCAGTACTTGTTCAATTGATACTGAAAGAAACACAAAAGATAAGTTTCATGTCATTTCAGCAATTTGTTTGTTTCTGACAGCTTTTGAAAATGACAGTTTGTCGACAATAATGAAGTTGGAGTATCGTGCCGTAATAAAATTTCTTTATTTGAAAGAGAAAATTCCTAAAATTGAAACTAAATTAGATTTAGTGTATGTTGCTTCTTCATTTATGATCGTGAAAACCTAGGCTGCTGAGTTCAAATGTGGCAGAACGAGAATTTTCGAAGGACGACGCTTCGGACGACCAAAAACCGAAATAACGGTGAAATGATCGATTATGTTCATCGAATTGTGATGCACGATCGTCGATTAACTTTAAGAGAGATAGCGGAGACTACTGATATCTCATACGAATAAATGCACAACATTTTACATGAGAAATTAGGTATGAGAAAGCTGAGCACGCGTTGAGTGTCACATTTGTTCACTGAACAAAAACAAGATCGGTTGAACATTTCACGATCGTGTCTTGAACGTTTCAAGCGATGAAAAGGATTTTTTACGGTGTTTTATTACTGTCAACGAAACTCCATCACTGCATCTCGGAGAACAATCAAAGCAGTGGATTACAAAAGATGAATCGACTTCGAAAAAGGCAAAAGCAGTCCCGTCGACTGACAAAGTGATAGCCACAATTTTCTGGGATTCCAATGAGATAATTTTTGTGGACTATCTAGCAAAAGGTGAAACAATCACCGGAGAGTATTATGCTAGATTATTACAATATTTGGAAATTAAGAATAAACGTTTTCATTTAATTAAAAAAAGACT